AGAAATAACAGATGACACTCACCTCGCGGTCTACGCTGTCTCAACACAGCCCGTGACAGAATCAAGGCGGATGCCCTCCACAAGGAAGCAGATCGCCAAGGACTCAAAGAGGTTCTGTACAAGTACAAGGACTCCTTCGCAAAGGAATCCCTGGACTGTGGCCTGACCGACATCCACACGGTGCGCATCCCGACAAGCCCAAATGCACCACCCACATTTGTGCGACAGTACAAGATTCCAATAGCGTCATATGAGCCCTGGACTGTGGCCTGACCAACATCCACAGTGTGCGCATCCCGACAAGCCCAAATGCACCACCCACATTTATGCGATAGTACAAGATTCCAATAGTGTCATATGAGCCAGTGCAAGAAATCATAGACTCCATGTTGGAAAAGGGGGTCATCCGCCCCTGTAACAGCACGTACTCTGCCCTACATCCACAGTGCATCCCGACAAGCCCAAATGCACCACCCACATTTATGCGATAGTACAAGATTCCAATAGCGTCATATGAGCCAGTGCAAGAAATCATAGACTCCATGTTGGAAAAGCGGGTCATCCGCCCCTGTAACAGCATGTACTTTGCCCCGATATGGCCAGTTCTAAAGCCCAATGGCAAATGGCGGCCCACCATTGACTATCGCAAATTAAACCAGCAAATACCCTTATCGCGATGGCCTATGACTCAGTTGGACCAAGAGATTCCCAAAATCAAAGGCTCAACGATCCTTTCCACATTGGACATCGCCTTGGGATTTTGGAGAATCCCTGTCCACCCTGATGACCAACACAAGCTGGCATTCACCTTTGGCAATCGACAATACACCTTCACACGGTGCCCCTTTGGCTATGCCAACTCACCAGCTGAATTTCAGACAAGACGGCATCGAACCACAGTCCAGTCGCACCCAAGCAATCCAAAACATAAAGACACCCACTAACATTACAAAGCTTTCTGGGAGTGTGCAATTAGTCAAGACAGTTCATTGAAAACTATGCTGACATCGCCACTAACCTCCCTCCTGAGAAAGGACAAACCCTTCGTTTGGTCAGAAGCCCAGGACACAGCTATGAGCGAGCTCAAACAATCTACCGGAGTACCCACATTCGAGATGATGACTGGGCGGCAAATGACACTACCGCTACACCTGCTGTACCAACCTGGTGACCTGAACCTCGTCACCGCCTATACCATTCACCAGTACCTGGAAGAGTTGGATCAATGCCTGAGAACAACTTTCGCCTTGGCGCAACAACAACTCCAACGAAGTGCGGAAGGTTGAAAAACTACTACGACCAAAAGGCCTCTCACCAGGAGCTCAACATCGGAGACAAAGTGTGGTTTTGTGTTTTCCCTTTTTCCTCTCTCTCTATGTTTTCCTTTCTCCTCTAGTTCCCTCGCCAGGGAACTCCCTTAACTCAACTTTAAATCCAGATCCCGAAATTAGGATTGACTCCTTTCACCAAAAATTGTCATAAATGATTGTGAAAAGCCGTCGTCAACCAAATTGAGGCAACCCAAGCCGAAGTCGTCGGAAACCGATGGCTAGTCGACACCCCAGAACGTACAGCAACCTTCAC